CAAACACAGCTCCTGAAAAACAACCCCACACCATAATCTCCCCCCTCCACCAAACTTTACACTTAGCACAATGCAGTCAGACAAGTACCGTTCTCCTGGCAACCGCCAAATCCAGACTCGCCCATCAGATTGCCAGATGGAGAAGCATAATGTGTCTTCACTGCTGTAGATCCAGTGGCATTGTGCTTTACACCACTGCCTCCAACGCTTTGCTTGCACTTGGTAATGTATGGCTTGGGTGCAGCTGCTTGGCCATGAAAACCCATTCCATGAAGCTCTCTGCACACTGTTCTGGAGCTAATCAGAAGGCCACATGATGTTTGGAGGTCTGCAGAAAGTTGGTGACCTCTTCACTCCTGAGAGCAACCCATTCTTTCACAAATGTTTGTAAAAACAGTCTGCATGCCTAGGTACTTGATTTTATAAACCTATGACCATAGAAGTGATTGGAACACCTGATTCTGATTATTTGGATGGGTGAGCAAATACTTTTGGCAATATAGTGTAGCTTGTTACTAAATCTGCTTCTTCACTAAGACTAAAACTGCTTCAGAGCAGGAAATAAAAACTTAAACTCCTTGCTTTTTATAATTGGTTCCAAAATTGCCTCAGATCTGTTCTGTCTTGTCCTCTGCATCTTTATGATTCAGCAAGTCTGTCATGAACTAGTTCTACATTATGATTACAGCTTACACTATTGTATCTTGAAGTGCAGAAAATTTACAACAGCTGGTAAAAATCACATCCTGCACGCATGTAATAAATTTTAACCATTTCTAATCCCATCTATTTCCTAAATAATAAAGATTTCTGGTTTCTGCTAAATAAGAACTGAACATGCATTACAGTTCAAAATTCTATTACAGTGTATCAGACAATAAAGTTAAGAAGATGGAAAGAAGCTTTGAAACAAACATCATTAAACAACTTATAAGAAATTGTTCCAAGAGATGTCTGCTTAAAAGAATAAAAGCTTAGGTTATTACAAAACTTGGTTTCATTTTTTTAAAGAAAACTAACTAAACAGAGCTAAAACTAATTCTGGGGAATATTCCTGGACATAAAGTTTTTTTTTAAAGTCAACTTTATTAAGTTTAAAAGAGAAATAAAATGCAAAATAACAAAATAAAATGGGGGAAGGTTATCAAAAATGGAAAAAGTTAAAAAGTCATAAAAATTACCTTCTTACATTTTTTAATTTAGGTGCAAACATAGTAAAGTAATCACTTACTCTAAATAAAAATAAAAATTCAATGACATATAAAAATATACAAACTAGACCATCAAAATAACTGTTACGGTATAGAGAATTAAATGTGGGGGAATTAGCAGCTAAAGGAGAAGGGGGAGTAAAGAGTGGGAGGAAATATCGAAACAGTTTAGTGTTATCTACTGGTTCCCAAGGAAATGTAACAAGTCTGGTGAGATTCTTGTAACATAGGTGATCAACAACAAAGAAACAACTTTGGCTTATTTACAAAATTGTTCTGATTCCTTGTGCCTATTGTATATCAAAATGATCACTTACTCATTTATAAACATAAGCATAAAAATACATAGTCTGTCTAATAGTACCAATAAAATGCACAATATTTCTATAATCATAACAAATCTAATCATCAAATCCTAAAATCAAAATTTCATTCTTACCCTTCTCAAGCAAAAAGTCCAAATAGTCCAAAAATCTAAATGTTTCCAATTAAAAACAAAGCTAAATAAGCTCTTGTCTTTCATTGAAGTAGTCAGTGTTGTCATCTCTGTCCATTCCATTAATTTTACAATCCACTTTTCAGTTATGGGAATTTGTGTGTATTTTCACCTCTGCGCGTATAAAAATCTAGCTGCTGTTGTCATATATAGAAACAATTCCCATGTTTTGCTAATATACGATATCTGAAAGAAAAGCTTCTGATTTCAATTTTGCACTCATTTTTAATATTTTCTGAATCAAATGAAATATATAATCCCAATATTTCTTGGCAGTCTTGCATGTCCACCAAAGATGACAAAAGGAACCTTAACCACATTTCCAATTCATCTCTTATTTTAATTTAGGTTCTCAATAAATATCAATAGAATAGCATAAGTTAACCATGTTTGTGTAACTTTAATTTCTCTTCAAAAAAGGTTTCCTGGAGGTTACAGTTGTGCTTTATCTGTTCCAAATACTCAGTATGGAATGTTTAACGAAGTAATTTTTAAAATCTGTCTTAACCTTAAGTCTACCATACCAAAGATAGCTGTGGTGCCACCCAGAATGTCCCAATAGCCATTATGAAAAGCAACAAAACAAGTTAAATAGCCACTATACAGGACTGGAGATCTACTTTCAACAATAAAAGTGGGCTTTTGTTTTAACCTAAGCAGTCTTGGGAATGAGGTACACCTGAAATTTTAATTCATTTTATTGTCTATCTTAAAACATTGATAGAAATACACAGTATATGTTAGAAGTGTATGATTAATCAGTTTTAAATATCTACCCTAATATTAGTACTTCTTTGCATTGGCAAAAATCCAGAACTGTTGGATTATGAATCTCTGAGGACAACAGTGACATTTTAGAACAGCTTAACAGAGCTTCTACTGCTTTCCTTAACACGTTATACTCATTTGTCATTGTTAAGTGTCTAATGATAATTACAATATAGGTTGTGAATGATCAGGTGGTTAAATATGTAAAAATAAGATGTTGCATTTATAGTAAATACATTTAGTTCTTCAGTTGCTTTTTGTATATGGACACCCGTGTATATAAATATCACTGTATTCTAGGTTGTAGAGACAATTGTGAGATATTGTGTCTCCATTATTATAATGGAAATATTTTATGTATCTATGTATTTAATTTTTATTTTGCCTTACCTGTCCCCCTGGCTTCTGAGCTTCAAACACTATGAGAGAAACACAAGCTTGGTGGTTTTCCAAGTTATCTTCAGTAGGCTATATAAAATAATCAAGGGTGAAATTGACAGACTAGTAAAATGTCAGGGCCTGGAATTTTTTCCCATTTGTGTAGAAAGGAAATTTATCTTGCTGTAAAACCAGTGGCAGCTAAGAATGAGATAGTATTTTTATTCATTTCAATTCAGCAGAAACAAAGCAATCGTGTATAACTTTTTGAAGTTTTGGGGATTAAAAATGAAAAGAATGTAACAATGCCTTATGTCTGCTTAAGTGTCACATTATTACTTGATTTTCAAGTTTACTTGACAGCAAACTGGTAGCATTTATATCCAGAATTCTCTAATAATTTTAAATTTGGAATAGCATACTGGCCTCAACTTGTAAACAAATTATATCTGTATCAGAATCAATAATAACACAATTAGAATGATGGTGAAAGTATGTGATATTGTAATTGCTCTCAATTTAATTTTTTTTATAGAATCCAGAATAAATCAACATGTTAACATTCTAGACAATATTACAGCTAAGAGGCTGTGCAAAAAATATAACACATCTGTTCTTTTTAGTTTAATGCTCCGTGGGTCCAGATATTCAGATAGGTGTTTTGTATCATTTTCTAATGCCATCATTACAGACCTGTTCTGTACGTAGTAATAGGCCTATTATTCAAGAGTTTGCATGCTTAAATATTTGCCTCAGTAAGTGTAGATATGTTAAGACAAATTTTTGGTTGTATATATTCAACAGCTTTTATTAATGTTTTAGTTATTACAATTATATAATGGTTACTGAAACCATTACTAAATATTTCAAAAAATATAAAGCAGGAGCAAGAGGTATAAAAAAACTTGCAAGTTTATGACCAATATGACATGGGGCCAGGATATCTGAAGAATCACCTTTCTCTGATTTTCTCCACCCACTCCCATCAGGACTGTCAGGAGAGGCATGCCCTGACTTCCATTTATTAAAGTACATCATCTAGCACAGGGGTGTCAAGCTCACAGTGTCACATTGTCGTCTTGTGAGGTATCACAGCTTTTCCCCCCGTTCACTAAACTGGAGGTGGGCATGGCCCGCATGTGACGCATCCAGCTTGCGGGCTGCAAGTTTGACACCCATTATCTAGTAGAACGGAACAGTTCTACAGAAAGGTGTCTTCCATTGTTGCACCTGCTCTCTGAATCACTATTTCCACTGAGATTAGGTAGCACCTATCTAATTGTTAGATCAGATAGCACCTATCTGATTGTTCTTCCAGGTATGGGAGATCAGAGCTTAGATGAGCCTGTGAAATGTTGTTAATTTATTGCTGATGGTTATCCTTGCTTTCCTCCCCCCCCTTTCTTTCTGTTTTGTATCTATTTTCATTTTCCTTCATTTTCCTTTCTTTATATTGTGATTTTTCACTTTGTCTACTGCCCAGTGATTTTAATGAGATGGGCAGCCATCTAAATCAAATCATATAAGTAATATTAATATGTAATAATTATAAACTTTAATTACAAATGTATTTTGAAATGATCGTCAAAATTTTCCCATGTTTTTAAGCAGAATATATAATAAAATACATATGTATATAATTTTCCTTATAGGAATCAAAAAGGGCTGAAGTCTCAAGAAAAGGTAAGCAAATACAAATTGGTTTTTATTATTGTTCCATCAGGTACATAGTTCTTCATTGTGAGTAAACTTAATTTGTTGCTAAAGACTAAAGTGAGTTATTTGGGTTTTCAATTATTGTTAGACAATGGATTTTTTTTAAAGAACTGTTCAAATGTTTCCCTGATGTTTGATTTCTTGGTATGCCTTTGAAGTATGCAGTAAATTTAGAATTTTGTTGTGGCATATAAAAGTCTTTAGAGTCTCTTGAAGACCAACAGAATAGTAGTAAGTATTTTATTTACTGATAAAAAGACACTCTTTTAAAGTGTAGCTCAAAAACTGTATACAGTGGTGTGTGACTGTTAAATGTTCCTTTAAAGAAGAATCTTTATTGAGGTGTTTTTTTTTTACAATATTGTAATATTTCTTTAAAGTATCCTCTTTTGATGAGCTTCTAGTAGTGTAATTCATTTAGCAGTAGACATAATAGATAATCATATACATTATTAATAATAAATAATCCAATCCTAGCAGTTGGGGATAGATATTCTTCAATCATAGTTACAGCACATTTGGATAGAAAGGCTGGACTAGTGTAAGTGACTAGTAGGTATAACTTAATTGTATAGTTGAGATATAAGAACAGACTTCATATTTCAGTCACAGCCAAGCTTCATTTTAACCATTTGCTTCACTTATTTTAACTTTGGAGTGAAGGAAGCAAGTGAAACTACTGTAGTGTAGCAGCTGCTGATTCTTTCTGTCAACTGCCTCTTGAGTTAAAGCTAAAAGGTTATTGGCAAAATGTCAAGATTGTTGTGTGATTGGGTTTTGATTGGTGGCTGTCTAAGAATTTGGAAAGAGACTTGAAGTGCTGAAAAACAGAAGCCACCCCCCCTCTTTCCCCCCCTATTCAATGTGCTTTTCTTCTCCTACAAGCAAGAGGTTGCAATTGGTGGACTGCTATGGCGTTAAGGGAGACACAGTATTTGGAATTTCCTTTTTACAAAAGTATAGTCCTTTAATACTAATTGGCAATGGTCAGATGCAGGCTGAAAAATCAGCAGTGAATTTAAGGTTAACTTTCCAGTTGTGTTTAACAGATGTTCTTGTCAGGTTGCTCTTGTATTGTTACAGGTTAAGCAATATGTCTTTTTTTTTTAGTAACACTTGGTTCTCAGGATATCCCATTCTGTCTTTATTTGTGTCAGAAGTGCCTTCAAATTATAGCCATTTAATATTCCAACACTTAAAAATAGGTCATAGTTATATAGCACATGTAAAAAGTATTTAAAATAAATAGAATAAAACTAAATGGCATTCACCCAGTGGTGGGCCATATCAGCAGCATTTTCTTTTGCCAGTATGAGGTCTTCCTCTGTACATATTGAAGGACATCATAAGCACCATAGTATATGCAAGATGGATTGTTCTCCACATTTATACAGAGAAAATACCATACTTTAATCGCACAGAATACAATTATATCATATTAGAAGTTTCTCATAGGGCCCTATGGACTTAGCTTCTACATTTTTGAGAGTATGGAGTAGTTCATGTCTCAACTTACAAAGTTGAGGTTCATAAGTACGCCAGAAAAGTAGCATAAAAATAATATACATTACAGTAATAGACAATTTTGATACCACAGTCCACATCTGCTGCTTTACATTACACAAGTGTACATTTCCATTAAATCCCTTTCTTAGAAAACTAGCATTGAACAATGACTGATACAATTATGTTTTACAATTGATCTCCTAGCATTCCTGATCTGCCTAATCTATCTAAATTCTTTATTAAATAGATTACTATTATCTCCAGTTTTGTTTGCATAGCATTTTGAATTAAACCACACAGTACAACATTCCTTATAATTGAAATGTTCCATCATGAAAAAAAATCCAATTATTTGCCAGTTCTTGTAAGACGTACTAGCAAAGAAGTGAAAAATAAAAAGCTATGATTGTTGTTGATTAATTTCAAAGGAATTTTCCAGCCTCCTCTTAGAATGTTTTGCTGTGCAGGATAAAAACAAATACTCAATAAGGGAGACTCAGTTTGATGTGATGGTTAAAACATCAAACTAGAATTCTAGTTCTACCTTAGACACAAAGTCAGTTGGGTTAATCTTAGCCTGCCCTAGGAGGCAGACAATAGGAAATCATTTTTCCTATTGAAAATCTTGCCAAGAAAACTGCAGACTTATCCAGGCAGTCTCCATGAGTCAATATCAATTCACCAGTACACATAAACACACATAAATGTGAGCATTCAAACATACAAATTATTCATTAATAATAGCATTTTAAATCTGACACTCTCATTATTGAAAGTTTGAAATCATATACATAGTTACGAGTTCATGCCTTTAATATTGAACAAAATAATCAAAAGAAGGTGAAACTAAGTAGCAGAAATATAGGCATCCCAAAGGTGCTTTTTCAAGAGGCAACTGGATTTTCTGTTTTTTTCTTTGAAGACATTTTGCTTCTCATCCAAGGAGCTTCTTCAGCTCTGAAATTTATTCAAAGGAAAACCAGAAAGTCCTGTTGCCTCTTGAAAAAGCACCTTTGGGACAACCATGACCTGGATGACTGAGAATCTCCATAGACAGAAATACAGGCACTTTGAAAGTACAATCATGATACAGCCACGTTAGAGTTTTGAAAGTATTGTGAGAAGGTACATTTTCATGTCTCTAGGATCATCCTTCACATATTTCTGTCAGTTGTTTGTTGAAAAATTAAAATTATTGTTTTGACATGGATGTTTAGAAAAAAAAATGTTTCTTACCAATTCTTGAAAGCACGGGTATTATGCAGATCTTGTTCATGGTACTTAGTCATTGCGCATGCTGTGCATTGCTTTTGGTTTTCTCTCACCTCCATTCACTTTATAGAAAGTATGAGCAGTACTGCCTGAACAATTTGATATTGTGAAAAAAAACTTTTCACCTATTTTATATGTAATATAAAGTGCTCATCCACTCATGTAATATATGAACAATAATAATTGGAAAGACCAACAGCTTCTACAAACAATAGTCTGCTATTTCAGACAATTTTTTTGTATTGGAAAATATACAAAACCTAAAGCATTACTTGAAAAAAGAACTGAGAATCAGAATAAAATGATTTAAAATCAGCAGTGACTGCAGATGACTAACTAGAGTGGCTAACTATGTGTCTTTGGTTCTAAGTTCTTTGTAAAGGAACCCTAGGATCCAAAGAATTAACAAGTTTTTTTTAATTTAACAACAACTTCCAGTGAAATGAAAACAGATTGTGAGCAGCCAATAATTTTAGAGTAGGTAGCTATAAATAATGCTGCCTTTCAGCACTGAATTTTAATGATAAATACTAGCAAGGAAAGGAACCGATTTTTTCCCACCTCCATTCTCAGCATTTGCAGTTGTAAGTCATATTTTGCTACATTGTGTTTGCTTTCATCAATCACTTTTTCCCAATACAATCTGTCAAAGTAAGCACTTTTGAATTGTAGACAGCAACACAAACAGTAGATGTGAAGAAATTCTTCAGTGCCAGTCTGAACTTTGCCTCTCTATAATCAGAAAGTGTTTGAAGATTTACAAGCAGTGGCACTGAAGTCAAGATTGGTAAATATATGACTGATCACAGATAATATCCCAGGGAATTTGCTAAAAAGATCAGGAGGTATATGTTATATTAGTAGACTTGGGTCACTTGTCTGCCCTTCAACTCCTCCTATGGTGATATCCTATCTAAAATAGGCTGCATTTAACAAAAAAGCAATATAAATAACTACAGGTAGTCCTTGACTTACAACAGTTTAGTGACTGTTCAAAGTTACAACTGAACTGAAAAAAAGTGGCATTTTTCACATTTACTACCACATGGTCCTCTGATTAAAATTTGAATGCTTGACACCTGACTCATATTTCTGATTGTTGCAGTGTCCCAGGGTCATGTGATCACCTTTGGCGACCTTCTAAGAGGCAAAATCAGCGGGGAAGCCAAATTCACTTAGCAATAGTATTATTAATTTAACAATTGCAGTGATTCACTGAACAAATGTGGCAAGGGAGGTCATAAAATGGGCAAAATTCACTTAACAACTGTCTCACTTAGAAACAGAACTTTGGCGTCAATTGTGGTTGTAAGTTGAGGACTACCTATACTTCATTTTTATATTGTTTCATACCTCATGCTAAATTAAAATGTGGAGCATAATTGGTTTAGTAGTCACAAATCAAGTCACTTTTGCATATAAACCATGACTTGTTGTTGTTTGGTCACTAAGTCATATCCGACTCTTTGCAACCCCATAGACCCATGATGCTGAAGCTATGGCATGCGTGCCAGAGGTGGCATGCAGCACCCCAGTTCAGCTCCTCTGCGCATATACGTGCGGCTCCTGCTGGTCAGCTAGTCTTCAGGTCTCTGCTGTGCATGCATGGGGGGGAGTGCACATGTATGGGGGGCAGGGCACATGCAAGGAGCACACATGCATGTAGGGGTGTGCATGGAGGCACACATGCATGGGCAGGGTGCATGCAAGCACAGGATGGGCATGCATGCATGGGGGCAGGACACATACATGGGGGCCGCATGCACATAGCATTTTGGAGGTTCGTGCTTTGGGGACTTGGTCCGGAAAAGGTTAGCCATCACTGCCATAGACCATACCATGCCAAGCCCCTCCCCATCCTCCATTGTCCTGGAGTCTGCTCAGACCTATCCCCATTGTCATTAATGACATTATCTAACCATCTCATCCTGTGCTGTCCTCTTCTCCTTTTGCCTTCAATCTATCCCAACATCAGGGTAGCTTAGGGTAAACACTAAAGTAAAGAAAGTAAACACTAAAGTTAAAGAAAACATGACCTTTACATGAGAACACAAGTTTCATGTGAAAGTAACAAGATTTATTTTGTGTTGAATTTTAGGAGGTTTTGGGAACAGTAACAAAAAGGAGATTAAGTTGTGAAGGTCACTCCTATACTTAAGACTTATCTGGGAGAGTGCTGCTTTGCAGTC